CTTRTGAGCAAGGTGCTTCTTGCCTTATTTTGGAGGTAAGGAAATTGAGACCTGCAGAGGTTTGATGTAAACAGCCTGAAAAGACCCAGAGCTAAGATTTGGTCTTGGGTCCGTTTATGACACTGAAAGCGTTGTGTTCTCCCCACTCACATAGTTTCATGCAAAAGCCAATGTGGTACTTCCTGGTGCCCACTGCCCCTCTGGATGGGCTGAAGGGCAGGGGTAGTGGGCAGAGAGCAGTGTCCATGGAAGCCAGGTTGTCCTTTTGAAAGGAGGCTCTGGAGGTGGAGGAAGGGCTATGGTCTCCAGGCTACTGTTAAATTGTAACTCTGTTACATGAAAGCTTTTCTCTCTTGTAATCAGTATTCTCTTGGCTCAAGTAAAACTCTCCAGGGAGGGGCCACATCTCTTTTAGGTTGTTATCTCCCTCCCTAGGTCTACAGATTTTTTTTTTAAATAAAACATAGGTCCATTTCAAGGAAATGTAGCACACATTTCTGAATATTCCTCTTCAGCTTCCAGGATGGCATCTCTCAGAATCCACCAGGAGGGAATCTTCAAACATGCAGGGGCCTGCCCAGACCAGCCTTCACTCATTCCCCACTAATTCTGACTCTTCCGGTTTGGAACTAACACAATCTGATGTGTATGTGTGTATATAGAAACACACACACATCTATGCATAAAATTATTCTGGTTCTGAGGTGCAGACCCAGGAATGTTCCTCCCAGTGATGTAGTAGGAAGTGTATGGCATCACGATTTTGGATTCTCTGTAAACTTATTTAAGCTGAATCTGAACCGGCCTTTGGAGTTAACTTGTTTCTGTGAAACAGATGATACAGAACAAGTTTAAATGACCTCAGGAGAAAATACACAGATCTAGGTTATTGGATATCCTGTAAGATAACTGGCCTAGTATATTCAAATAGTTAATATTGGGAAAAGTAGGAAGGATAGATCAGGGAGGAAAGACTATTCTTGTCTAGAAACCAACCAAGTACAATGCACGAGTCATGGTTTAAAAAGAAATGACTATAAAAAATGGAATGAGATATGTAAATGGATTAGGAGTATAGATTAGGTATTGGCTATAAGGGTATTATTGTCACCTTTCCCAGTTATATATTTATTTTTTGTGTGTTTATAGAGGAAAATGTTCTTATTTTTAGAATATGTATGCTAAAGTATTTAGGGATGAGTATTCAACATTTGCTACTCATTTTTAAGTGGTTCAGAAAAAAATGTGTATGCTGTAGATCAGTGGAACAGATATAGGACAATGTTAGCAAATGCTGAATCTAGGTGTTGGTACATGGATGCTCAATGTTTATTCTTTTTTTTTTTTAAAGAGAAGAGAGAATCGAGAGAGAATTTTTTAATATTTATTTTTCAGTTTTTGGTGGACACAACATCTTTATTTTATTTTTTTAATGTGGTGCTGAAGATTGAACCCAGCGCCCCGCGCATGCCAGGCAAGCGCATTACCACTTGAGCCACATCCCCAGCCCCTCAATGTTTATTCTTATCAACTTATATCTGTGTTTGAAATTTTTATAGTAAAGTTAAGAAACAGAACCCAGGCTAGCAAGCAAGGTAGTGCTTTTCAAAACACTGTCTTAGCCATACTCTCTACTGTTCCTGTCATGCTGGAAAGTGGGGGCTATTTGCAGCTCTGACTGATGTTCTTCCAGTCTTTCTCCACCTTCTAGGTGGAGGTGCACTTTGCTCCTAGGTTTCTATTCCCGTAACCTAGTCAGTGGGCACCGCCTGGTTCTGGCTACATGTGTACTTTCCCTTCCAACTGACAACAGAAAGGTGCCAGAGATGGAACCCAGTGATCCAAGCTACAAATGCCAGCTCAGAGCTACTCACCACCTTGCCCCTTCTTGTAATTAGGGCAATGTGAAGGATGTATACAGTATACTACCAACGACCACAGATGAGCCTTTATAAACTCCTCTTTTCTCTCTTTTCTGTCAATGATATTGTAGATTTCTGTATGATTCTGGTTTTCTGTTTTGTTTGTTTGTTTTTGTTGTGTGTGTGTATGTAAGTTATTTGCTAAGAGGGTTTATGTTGTGGACCTTTGTGACAATTGTAACATTATTTTCTGAAAGTCAGAGGGCTGTCCAAATTACCCATAGTCATCAGGGATGTGGTAGTAAAGTCAGGTAGCTTAGAGGAAAAAGGCATTTAGTGACCCATGGAGAGAAGACTTTTACATGAAATGGCATTGGGGCCTGGTTTTATGAGTGTGCTTCATGGAGCTCTGAGGAGGGCTATGTCCAGTATCCCTGCTGCTAACAAGGATCTATAACAAAGATCTGTTTCCCCTTTGATAGAAATGTTGTCTCAGCAGGTGCCTGCCTTTCTGTGCATATGGCCTAACTGGGACACTTCATATGACTCAGACCATTCCAGAAACCCCCTGCTGCCTTTCCAGATTTCCCCTTGTCCTAGCACCCTAAATTAGACTTCATTTGAATCCCCAGGAAGATACAGTTTTAGTCAGTTAGCCTTGCATATTGTGGCTGTCCTCTGATAGCAGCAGTTAGTAAACATTAGGGAGAGACGAAAGCATCTTATCTCCAGTTCAAAACAGAGAAGAATAGAGGCCACATCCCAGCCATTCTAGTGCAAATACAAGAACTGGTGATTGTTTTAGCACAAATAGAGAAGGAAATATATTTTTTGAGCTTAAGCATGTGATGTGGGCCTTTAAATTGTCCTACCTCCAATTTGACATGGACCACTTTGCTAAGCCCAAACACCCCATCTTCCTTGCTTATGAAGTTTCACAGCATTTCTCTTGGGAAAATGCAACCTACTTGCATTCCTGACCCCAAGCTGAGCTTGCTGACCAGGACAGCGGACACTGTCTTAGCCATTAAGATATAAGTCACCTGAGAGATTGTAGAAGAGTCCTGCAGTTTAGCACAGGGATTAATATGTATATTCACATTGAAAAATTGCCATTAACTAGAGGGACAGGGATGGAGAAGGGCTGATTTACATAGCAAATTGGTTTTCTACTGAAGGAAGGGAGTTGATACTTACAGAACTCTTATTCTGCTGGGCACTGTGCTGAATGCTTTAAGATGTGCTTGTTTCTTCCTTCCACCCATCTTGTGTGCTAGATACCTTTACTGTCTCCAGTGTGTAGGTAAACCCAGGTGATGGTGGAAGCGGCTTTGGAACCCAGACCTGAGGGACACTAAAACTCCCTCAGTGGAACACACCACCTCTCCCTTATCCAGTGCTTAGCACAGCCCCATTGCACACACACACACACCCTGACAATTAGGTCCATATGTTCCCTGTATTACACTAACTATGTCCTCAAAATAGCATCTTGTGTAACAACAGTGATGTGAGGAGTTTTTAAAGACATCATGATTCATGAGAAGAGTAAAGTCGCCACTCATTAGGACCTCAACCAGCAGGCAGAGCTGATGCTTGGTGTAAAAACAGGCATGTTAAGCTTTGGCACTGGGCTTCCTTATTTCCCTACCCCCTTCCCTCTTAGATAGCTCTCTGCCTCAACAGAGCTCAGTATACCGAGGAGTTCTTTGTAGTTCTCATGGAGTTGACAAAATAAGATTGAACACTCAGAGAAGGGCCATATGCCCAGATGTCAGATATGTGCATCTTAATTCTGCCTGACCTTGGAGAAGGGGCAGAAAACAGAGCTGCAGATGAGCACTGCCAGCCCCTGATTCAGGGTTCAGGCTCTGAAAGAGGGTTGAGCCACTGGGGCAAAGTCCTCTGGTAATGAAGTCATTTGTCCTCAGGAACAGAATGAGCCCTCTGTGAAATCAGAAACAATGGGCATGTTGAGTTCCAGACCTGGGGTGAACTGAAGCTAAGGCACAGGCACATGTGATGAATTGGGACAATTCAAGAGATGCATTCTTCATAGACAAGTTTCTGTTGTCAACAAGTCCACTCAGTTGTAATCATAGTTAATGGTCATTAATGTCTCTGTTTTGAATATATTTTCCTAGTAAGTCATGAACTCTTCTATGAGGTTTTCCCCCTTCTTGAGTTTTAATTAATATAAATTATTTTGTCTAAAATAATATGAGAAATAGATGAAAGATAAGTTTGGGTAGCAATATTTCATTTATTCTTTTTCATGGGTTTTTCCTTTTACATTCTCATTTACCTAGGAAGCAAATAATTTTATTTCTCTGCTAGTAATTTCATTTCCAGACAATAAAAGTTGGAAATTGTTGCTCTGCTGCCGAGCAAAAGTTTTTGGTGCAAGTTTTCTAGAATTTAGCGTATCTAATACCAGAACAGTAGCCAGAGTCCAGCACACTTTAGAAAACATAGCCAGGGGCTGGGGATGTGGCTCAAGCGGTAGCACGCTTGCGGCCCCGGTTCGATCCTCAGCACCACATACCAACAAAGATGTTGTGTCTGCCGAGAACTAAAAAATAAATATTAAAAATTCTTTCTCTCTCTCTCTCTCTCTCTCTCTCTCTCTCTCTCTCTCCCCTCTCTCACTCTCTCTTTAAAAAAAAAAAAAGAAAAGAAAAGAAAACATAGCCAGTCTACTGACATAGTTCACTGTCTTGATCTGGATTCCTGCACTGCCTTTTCCCTCCCCCCTTCCCTAATAAAAGATAAGAGATCAGGWGCCAGCTGTGTCCCCTGTATGACTGGGTGCCCCGGTGGGGTGGGTGGGTGCTAGGGCCACTCTCTCCTGCTATGCTGCCCCAGTTTTGAGCCTGTGGTCTCAGAGAAGTGGAAACAAACCCCATATATGCTAAGACCGGTTCTGCATGCTGCCTGGGGACCAGAGGGTGCTAGACACCGTTCTGTCGCTGACCTGACCGAGCGGGAAGAGCGGGTGGAGCAGGGACGCGGGGCCGAGGCGGGAAGGCGGCCGGCGTCCCGCGAGGGGGCGGGTGCAGCCCGCGAGTGTGGGGGCGGCGCGGGGCGGGGCGGGGCCTGGCGAGCCGCTCACGCCCTCCGCTCTTTCCTCTGCTCTAGGTGAGGCCGCCGCGGGGCTGCTGCCGCCCAGCGCAGTACTCGGTGTCACTCAGCACGAATGCCGCGCGCCCGGGACCGCGCTGCTGCCGCAGGCCGCGGGAGTGAATGACCACTGCTGCGACTTCCTTCCCAGCCTTCCTGAGCAGCCTCCCGCCTAGCCGGCTAGCTGTTTTGGTTGACCCCGTGGATTCCTGCCTCTTTCTCCGCCGTGAACTTCAATATGTGTCATGTCATTGTCACCTGCCGCTCGATGCTCTGGACCCTCCTAAGTATTGTGGTGGCCTTTGCGGAGCTCATTGCCTTCATGAGCGCGGACTGGCTGATTGGGAAAGCTAAGAGCCGCGGCAATGCCGAGCCGGCCGGCGCGGGCGGGGGTCCCTCCGAGCCCTACCATCCAACTTTGGGCATCTATGCCCGCTGCATCCGCAACCCCGGCGTGCAGCACTTCCCGCGGGACACGCTGTGCGGGCCCTACGCTGAGAGCTTCGGCGAGATCGCCAGTGGCTTCTGGCAGGCCACTGCTATTTTCCTGGCCGTGGGGATCTTCATTCTCTGCATGGTGGCCTTGGTGTCAGTCTTCACCATGTGTGTGCAAAGCATCATGAAGAAAAGCATTTTCAACGTCTGCGGGCTCTTGCAAGGAATCGCAGGTAAGTGAGCAGGACAGAAAGAAACAGCTTTCACTCCAGGGAAACAGACTTCCACTGCAGCTTGGCACTTGTTGATTCACACTGGCTTCTTGCCGCTTTTGAAAAAGACCTTCCCTTTAATGAGGTTTACCTGTGTTAACTCTTAACCCAGGAGGAAGACCCCTTCTCTTGTGTGGCCTGAACTTCCTCGTGGCTTATTCCCTCTAGGTCTAAATTATTGAGTTTTGTTTGAGTAACTACTCCTTTTTGCTTTCTCCATTCAATTGAAATCATGCTTTCCTTGTCACTGCATCTGCTGGAAGAATGGTGGTGAGAGTGAGTCCCACCTGCACCAAGTGTTCTGCTAAGGAAATGGGTGTGGGTGTTCAATAGGAAGCCTCCAGCCTGCTCCTACCACCCCATGGTTTCAGCGTTGGGTAGGGAAAATACAGACTGGAAAGGAATTAATATCAGCTGCTCTGTGTTTAATGCTGTTCTGATTTAAATTGTCTGTCTCCTGGAGCTTGACAGAATGTTCTGTGCACTCAGATCAGAAAATGCAAGCTAACTCTTCCACTTTCTGGCAGTTTCTCACTAAAGAGCTTGTTAGAAATGGGTGAGAAGAAAAGTATGAGCTCTTTATGGTGATTCCCCCAGGGAAGGCTGTGAGCTAAAGGAAAAGATCCACTGCCCCCTGCACTTTTCTAGACTTCCTCCAGATTGTTGAAAGGTGGATCCTGAACCAAGAGACCAGCAGTCTGTCCCAAGGGACAGCTCAAAGGACTCTGTGTGGCAGAAACACACAGGAAGCTGTTGGAAGACATCCCATGGAAGTGGAAGGAATGGACTATTGCTTTAATTTTGCAGAGGTGGGGGTGTTTTAACTTTTTAACCAAGATGCAAATCTCAACTGTAAGGGGGAAGAACAGGAATCCACCTACAGCGCTAAATGAAGGGCACAGGTGATTCCTCAGCAAATTTAAGAGAACATGGGCCTCTTTGGTGTAAAGATAAGTGTTGAGCCCTGTGTCCAGGGCTGCAAAGAAACAGACCCCAAATGAATTAACTCTACTCTGCCTCAAATGCTTGAGCTCAGCAGGGCTTGCTTCCAAATAAACAGATCAAATGACAGGGTGTTTTTTCCCCCAAAATAGCTGATAAGATAAAGTTTCTGTTTCTCAAATCTTAGGAGGCCCATGTATGGTGTGCATTTACAGGAAAGAGTAGGCCTAAAGGGCCAAGAGAGATGATGGAGATCCTGCTCTACATTCTGATTTGCTTTCACAGGGGTGAGGGGAGTACTCCATTCAGATACCAGGGCCTTTAAACTTTGTCACAAAGCAAAATCTTAGGACCCTCATTTCTTTATCTGCTAGGATCAGCCATATCATGAATGACCAAAGCAATCCTAAGCACTCACAGAATCCAGGAGGCCAGAATTCCATTTTTCAGCTTTGCCACTAACTAGCAGTTCTCCTGTAGATGAGTGTACCAACTCCTTGAACATCAGCATTTCTATTCTGAAAATATAACCTTACCCTTAAATGTGTATTTTTTTTAAATCTTGGATTTCTGATTCTGTAAAATTGATTGTCCTCTTTTGATTTACTTCTGAAATCTGAAGTATATCCCCTTGGGTTTGGCATTTCACCTTCCAGAAATGTTAAATACAAAAGGTTTTGAGTACAGAATTCACCCMCACACACACACTTTTTTTTTTTTTTTTTTTTTGGTCAGAGGTCCCATCAGACACAAAGTACCTCAGGTGTTTACCTTAAAACTTTTGTAAAGTATTACCAAAGGCTTTTGAAAAGTCAAAATAAACATGTAGATAAAGTGAAGCCAGCACACATAATTTATAAATCTTGTTGAAGATCCCTGGTTGACCAGAGAGGAGGATTTGTTTAACTTTCCCTCACTATGTTGAGTTTGCCCATCCTCCATGATTTCATGCCTTGGTTGTGGGTTTATCAGTATGATGGTATGCAGGTTAGACTCCTGGCTTGCTTCTCGAGGAATACTTCTCATCACTACTGATCTGCCTTCTAGCAAACTATTGGCCTTTTACATCATGAGGTGGGACATCTTGGGCCCCAACACCAAACCTGTCTTTTGAAGTCATTAAGCAGCAGCATAAACACCCTTTAATTTTGTAGGCTACTAATATGCAGTTTTGAATAATGGATTAGTCCAGTGAATTCCACCTCTGCAAGTATGGATTAAACACATCTTTTTGTGTTCTTGTTTGTAGCTTCACATAAATGGTGTGTCATTTATGTGAAGTACATATTTCTTAGGTATTATTTGTACACTCCAGTGAGGTTTTCTAGCTTTTCTCTAGGCATAAGGCCTTTGGGGAGAAGAATTGTGAAGGAGGTAAGAGTACACCCAAGGGGCCAGTCTGCAGGTCATTTGTCTCTTTCAAAGTCTGAGTTTTCTAAAGAAATTTTAACTTTCTCTCCACACTACTTAGACAGCATCTCAAAAATTCTGAAATTACTCACAATTTTAAATTGGCAGGAGGCAGAGATTCCTGTCTAGTCACTCTGCTCTCCAGGGGCCCCTGAGCACTGAAACCCAGGAAAGAAGTGGTTTCTTTTCCCTTTGCAGCCTAACACCACACCTCAGCAAGGAAATAATAAGAAAGATGGACTAAGCCATGTTTCATGTGTTCAGGGGCACTTTCTGCAAAGGGACTCGRTGGGCTTTCTCCCTGACGCAGGTCCTCATCAGGCCGTTCAAGCCAATGCAGGCAGCAGCCCTTGTCCTGAATTGGATGGCCAAGAAAGTTGCCATACCAGTGTCCAGAGCAGCTGACTTGCTTTCTCTTCTGCCAGCAGACTGTCCTAGCACCTGGTCAGCCCAGCCTCAGCCAAGGACTTGCAGCTGTGAGCACCAGTCTTTCCTCTCCATGCCTCCCCGCCCTGCCCCCCCAATCCTGAATCTATTCAGCATTGAGACAAATGGTGAGAAAGGAGGCCATTGCCAGAGCAACACAAGGGTTCTTTAGAAGTACACTGTGGCTGGGTTTTGTCTTACAACTTGCATTTTGGCAAAAATGACATTTTTATAAAATGTGACTAGATGGAAATTTATATAGACAGCATTTTCCTTTGCCACCCCTAATTTTAAGGAATAAGTAGACCATAGGGTTATATAGCCCTGTCAATAAAAAATATAAATCATTAAAGTCTTGATATTAGAAGTTAAGTGTGAAAGAATCAGCTAGCAGTGGAAATTCCTACCTGAAATTACTTCAAAAACAAAAACAAACAAAAACAAAAAACAACAATTGACTGTTAACAGGTAGAAGGATTTGCCTTTGAGGCCTTGCCTAACAGGGGCACCAGCTGACACATCCTCATGGTGAACCCATGATGTCCCGCATTCACTCTGGGCAGTGGTTAAGAGTTCACACCTCGCCTTAAAGTGGCTGTGAAACCTTGGCCAATTTGCCTCACTTGTTTAAGCCTGTTTTTTCATTTATACATACCTCAAGGCTGCTTTGAGTATTAGATAACACAAGGAAGACTCCAGCACAGTGCTTGCTTATGGTGAATGATGGCACCAGATGACAATACTTATTAAAATATTTCTGCTTTCTTGACAAATTTCAAAGTATATTTTTGTGTTTTCCAGAATTGCTGCATTCTGAGGAATAGGGACATCTTTTATAATTGTAGACTTGATTTTGTTCTGTTCACATGGTAAATTCATTATATAGCACTCTGCCTATGACAGGGCTGCAAGGTGAAGAGCAGTCCTGGGGCTCTGTGTGATCAGGTGTGTCTTCAGATCTCTCTCTCTCTCTCTCTCTCTCTCTCTCTCTCTCTCTCTCTCTCAGAGCAGAAGGTAGTAATAGAATCAATAGGAAAACAAACCTCTTCCTCCCACTCCGTTTCCTCCTGTCACACACTTCTCCATTCCTTTTCTTTCTGGAGGCAGCTTCCACAGTTGAGTCTTGATTGCAGGTGGCTTCTCAGACTCCCCTGGCAGAATAAATCACAGGCTGATTGGTCTTCACTAGGTGAGGCTTGGCCAGGACTTGGCAGAGCTAGAAACACACGTGGGTTCACAGCCCTCTGGGATTCATTACAAAAGCTGGGTAATCGGCCAGCGGGTTGTTTTTTTGCCAGCTGTCTTCCTTAGGTTGTGACCTGGATGTAATCCATAGTGAAACTGTAGAATGCAAAGATCCAGGTTTTCCATGACAGCATAGTGCAGTTTGTTTTTGGAAGTGCATGCAGGGCTCTCTTAGAAGCCCATGGAATCCCCAGTGACTCAGGTTTGGGACAGAAGCCATTAAAATGAGCTCAGGATTTGGCTCAATTGTGCTGGCTGGGCCTATACCGCTGGGGTTTCCGTGGGGGTTGGACTAGCRCTTGAGCTTCAGGGCCTGGCTGACTGCTGTCTTTGGTCTTCCCTCCCATGCTTGCTTCTTTTGTCCTGTTGATGCTCACACTGTACATTCCCTCTTGCCATCATCTGTCCATGTGGGTCTCAGTCCAGCAGGATTGCCTCAGCAAGTTGCCTCACCAGTCTGATCAGCTAGATTGGGCTAGACCTGGCCTCTGTAGGGCAGGGGTGAAGGGGTGTGGTCAGGGGAATGGCTCTTTGGTGGTGGCCCAGGGCCTGTGGTGGTGGGGGCCGGGAGGGAGGTTCAGCTTTCTTGGAAGTGAGCAAAATGATTGAGTGTGAAGAAGGACAATATGAAAAAAGAAAATAAGACTCTGAGAAAATGAGCAAATGGTTTTGCCATTGCTGCGTGCAGAATTGCTTTTGTCCAGAATCTGAGTGGGTATGGAAGTATAAGTGGGTATGCAAAATATATCACAACCATCTAGGACTGGTATTTCTTTTTCACAAGGTAGAAAAAATAACCTTAAGTATCAAGGTGATAACCACAATCCAACCTAGTCCCAGCCTTTCATTTGGACTGATCCCCTCCCTGTGCATTCACTCCCAGGCAAAAAAAGACTAGACCAATCATTAAAGATGTGAAAGGAGACCAGAAACTCAGG